CAAAATTAACAATCTTAATATATTTAACGCACTATAAAAATATAATCTTAAATTTTGACAAATTATTACTTGTATAACTTTTTTCTATTATACATCATTAAAATTCTAAATTTAATACACTTAAATTTTGCCAAAGTAATTTTATTTATTTACATATATTTGATCAATTAAATTTATTCATTAAAAAAAATATAATTTAAAAAAAAGTCCTTTTGTACAAAATTTTCTTAATTTTATTATAGATAGAAACCGATCTGGCTTACACCGATCTGAACTCAAATCATGTAAAATTTTATTAGTCGAACAGACTAAAATATTAAACTTCTTTATTTAATTTTTATTTTAATTCAACATCGAGGTCGCAATCATTTTTATTAATATGATCTTTCTAAAAATATTACGCTATTATCCCTAAGGTAATTAATTTTTATAATTATTATAAAAAAAAAAATTTTCTTAATTTAATAATCAATCCTTTATAAAAATTTCATTAATTAATGTTAAAATTATCTTTAAATTAAAGTTCATTTTATTTAATTATCCTCCCAATAAAATATAATCATTAAAATAAAATTTATTTCCTTAAATAAAAAAATTATATTAATTTAATAGGGTCTTCTCGTCCCATAATTTCTTTTAAGAATTTTAACTTAAAATTTAAATTTTAAATCTACAAATTAAAACAGCTTTAATCAATTCCTTCATTCCAGTTTTCATTTAAAAAACAATTGATTATGCTACCTTTGCACCGTCAATATACTGCGGCTATTTAAAAATCACTGAGCAGAAATAATTTTAAATTATTATCAAAAAACCATGTTTTTGTTAAACAAGTAAATTAATGAAAATTAATGTGTATATGCATTACAATATATTCAATACAATATTCTCTTAATTTGAACGAAAATTATAAATAACTTATGCGTAACATATATTTTTGGACTCCTAAATAAAAAATATATTATATTATTTGCAAAAAATAAGATGAAATATTTTTTATTCGAATAGTCTCAACTGCTCTTTTAGCTGAATGTTTAGAAGCAATGAAAAAAATCGAGGATCTACGAAAAATTTAAGTACATTTCTAAGATTTTTTTATATGATATAAAAAAAATATATGGTATATAAATTGATTTTTTAATTTTTTTATTAATTTTTAATTACACACACACACACACACACAAATAGATTCTTATTATTTAAAATAGTTTTTATTTTTGTTCTTTATTTACATATGCATACATATACAAAAAAATAAAAATAATATGATAGCCTTTTTGCTGACATTATCTCTCAATATTTGCATCCGTGTGCTCACGTATTAGTTTTTGTACCTACATGGACGCTACTACATATGCGATGTAAGAGAGACAAAGATGGAATGATGCTCTCTCCTTGTCAAGCAGTCAGCATGTTACCACAGAAATTTCCCCTGCTCCTTATGAATCTAGTGAGAATCTTATCGTCCAGATATTTCATAAAATAAGTGACATAACTTCGTGAATTTTTTTTTAATATATTCTTTATATAATAAAGCAGTCCTCTAAAAGGCCGGATTTTACATTTTCGCTCTTAAAAATTTATAATAAATAAAATACGGACTCGCGGCTAACCCAACCTTACCCGTTCCTAGCTGTGCATTCCCCCAAGTTTATTAAAAATTTTTATTTTTATCTTTTTTTCATAAAATAGCTCTTTAGAGGACTACAAATGAGCTTACTGATTAAGAATATCCTAAATTTAATAAGATTCATTCAATATTTTCGCTAATATCTGGAAAATAAGAATCCGTAATTCCCGGCCGGCCGATAGGCGTCTCCACCATGTCGCCTGTCGACCCTTAATCGAGTTTAATAACATCCGTAGTTGTAAGACTGGCCAATCACAGCCGTGGTACAAGGTGCCGTGTAAACGTACTCATTGTAGACCCCGCTTTACTCTTGTACTCTGTACTCCTGCCGATTTTTGTTCAATAGTACTGTGGTTATTTGGAAATGCAGTATGACGTCCAGTAATTTTTGCAATCATATTTTTACTATTATTTATACATATTATATACAGGCAGATACAGGATGTTCCATTTTAATGTATCATATTAATATATTATACAGGGTGTCCGGTAATTCGCCTCAACCGTTGTGTGCAAGTAAAGTGAGTTAAACCGAATAGGAAAGTCCTCTACCGTTTTGCGATTTTCGCAATAATTATTGAGTTATTAAACGAAAAAGATCGACCAATCGACACGAATAGAAGCGCGCGACGAGAAGAGATGTCCTACTCGATTTGTTCGCGTTGCAGGCCCCAACTTGCTCCTTTTCACTTCAATGCACTCGTATTGGTCCAATTCGAAAAGCGCACTAATACGAGCGCATTGGAGTAAGAAGGAGCATGTTGGGGCATGCGATGCGAACAAACCTACTACTGCAACACGATATTTCATACGCCTTTTCATACGCAGCATGCTGCAGCAGCAAATCAGTCACGTGATCAAAATTTATTAGAGCATATTTCTTTGTTCTCTTATTAATTCAAGGTTAAAATTACGATTTTTACTTTTATATTTTCAAAATAATTAATTTTATTTTTAAAAATCCATTATTTAACTAATACAATGATAATAATTATTAGAATCAACTAGTTGCGTGTTCTTTTGCTTTACTGCCTTTGCTGTTCGTTCAATTGAACTTCACCAATAGTAACAAACTGTTGCGACAGCATGCTGCACATGAACCTATACACGGCGTGCGGCAAAGCGGAGGGAGGAGCGAACGATGACTATGTACGATTCGTGTTCAAAAAATGTTCGTGTATCGTGTTACAGTAGGACGTCTCTTCTCGTCGCGCGCTTCTATTCGCGTGGATTGGCCGATCTTTTTTATTTAATAACTCAATAATTATTGCGCAAATCGCAAAACGGTAGAGGACTTTCCTATTCGGTTTAACTCACTTTATCTACATACGACGGTTGAGGTGACAATTACCGGATATCTTGTATATTATTCCTACATCCATGAGATATATATATATATATATATATATATATATATTGATATATATATATTTATATCCTTTTTATAATTTATATTTTTTTTATAACTGTGTTTATACATAAGCAGTCTTAAAAATTATTATCTAGAACATTATCTAGATAAATCGCCATATAATTTCATCTTTTACTTAAATATATATTTAAAACAATATCATCTTTATTTTATCTACGATAAATTTACATATATTTTTATCTTATCTTTTATCTAGCTAATTTTAAAATCATCTAAGCACAACACTGTAATATAATATATATGTGTAATATAATATATATTACATATATATATATATGTAATATAAAGTATATTTATATTATACAATATATTGTAAAATCCTTAGCAGGCGAGGAGGCATTAATGATGCAATACTGTAATTTATTTTGGGTGGAGTTCCGAATAGGTAAACCCTCCTATTTTTTTGAAACTATACTATTTTTTGTATTTTTGAACGCTGATTACGAATATGATAATGGAAATTTGCGACAAGGTCATTTTCAAGGTCAAAACTCAAAAAACTAAAAAAATATAATTTTTTAGACCTTATTTCAATAAATATTGATATAACAAAAAAAGTTTCAAATGAAAGTTGCAGTTCTTATAAAAATACATCATTTATGTTCTATACATTTTTTTGCGTAAAAGTGATAGTTTTTGAGAAAATCGATATTAAAGACCAAAAACGGGTAAAGTTCCGAAAAGTGCTCACTTCTAATTTTTTTAAAACTCAGTATTCTTACGTATTTTGATGCGCTGATTATGAATATCATAGCGAAAATTGGCGCCTCTCTCATTTTCATTGTAAAAATTATGAAAAACCCATAAAATTTATAGTTTTTAACTTTTTATCTCAATAAATACGAAAAATCATGATAAATATTTTAAACAAAAGTTTCAGATCTTACAGAGAAAAACATTTATATGTCCTATTACTTTTTACCGTACAAGTGAGTTTTCAACAAAAACAATGGAATCTAAATCTTATATCTGTTCTCCTTTCTAAGCATGTACTTTGCAGTACATATACGATTCCACATGGGTTTACAACTTTCTACGTAGAGCGAGATTCCACGCACATCTATTTTTCTAGTTTTTCGGTAGTGGAACTCTCCGGAAGGGGGGCAGAACCACTGTTTCCACGCATACACTTTTCCACGCGAAGCGAGGTTCCACATGGGTTTGCAACTTTCTACGCAGAGCGAGGTTCCACGCAAATTTATTTGTCTAGTTTTTCGGTAGTGGAGCCCTCCGCAGGGGGGGCGGAATCCACTGTTTCCACGCATACACTTCCACGCGAAGCGAGGTTCCACATGGGTTTGCAACTGAGATATGTTGTTTTCGGAACCATGGCCGTTTTTAGTCTTTAACATCGATTTTCTCGAAAACTATTTTACGCAAAAAATGTATAAAACATAATTAATGTATTTTTATAAGAACTACAACTTTTATTTAAAACATTTTTTTGTTACATTAATATTTATCGAAATAATGTCTAAAAAGTTATATTTTTTCAGTTTTTTTGAGTTTTAACCTTGAAAATGATCTTGTCGCAAATTTTTATTATCATATTCGTAATCAGCATTCAAAAATAAAAAAATAGCGTAGTTTCAAAAAAATCGGAGAGTTCACCTATTCGGAATTTTATCCTTTATTTTTATATAATATAGTAGTTTTGTTATTTTTATAATATTTTGTTATATATTTTATTAATATTACAATTTTATTAATAACTGCATTTCTAAAATAATTATCTTTTTATTTCTACAGTACATATTTAATAAAAATAATAAAATATAAATATTTTACTTTTTCAATAATTTTCCAATATTTACATTTCGAAATTTGCGCGTTATTCAACTAAGAATATGGCGGTACGTCACGTGACATTCGTAACATCTGTCAAAAAGGTGACTGAGTGACTCTCGCACATACATATACATACATAACTGGTTATACTGTGGTCTTGGTCTTACTTGTTTATGATCGTGTGCGTAGGCCTTTATACCATTAAGTCCGGTGTAAACTGCAAGTCTCCGCGATCACTACGAGAGGAAAAATTTAGAAAGAAACTCTTTTAAAGCACCCTTGACAAGCCGCACATGAATCTCGTAAAAACAAGCGCATAAATGTATTTCTCTTGATAATCGAGGAAGGCCTGTAGCCGACCAAAGGTGGGTCGTTAAACGAATTTTCCTCCGCAAAATTGTCTGCCAATTGCATTTTGTTTGCGACGCGATTGTCGCGGATTCGGCATCGTTTATCGAAAAATCATGTTCGGGCGATTAGCGAGAAAAAAAAGATTTCACAGGAAAATCTCGCTTTCAGGGCCGAACAAAAATGAGAATTCAAAAGCTTTCTTTTATATGAGGTGCTTCGGAATTACATTTCACACGTTGTATAATATATTCTAATTTTACTGAATATATACAACGTGACATCGTAATTTTTTCAACACATGTGAATAATTACTTCTTCGAAATTTTATCCAATTGTTTTTTTACACTTAATTCCTCGGAAAATTTTTTCCACAATTTTGTCATTTTAGCGGGATTTTGTTTTAAAAAAAAGATACGTTTCTGTCAAATAATATTTAGGACTAATTTTATCTTTATATTGTAAGTGTTTCAAAGTATTATTAAATGTATTTACATCAATCTTTAATAATTCTAAAAAAACGTTAATAAGTATATGGATTTAATAATATTTTACAAAATATTGTAATAATATACATGTATATAAAATAATATATTACTATAAACTTTTTAAAATACTGTAACATTCTAATATTGAGCGATACTTGATTACATGAAAAGAATGTACAAGTTTGACAATGAGGCTAATGTGCAAAATATTTTCCTTTCAGATGTCGAGTGAAAATGACAGTGAGATGGATTGTTCGGATTCAGACTGTGGTGATCCGGGCTATGAAGATTATTACAATATTCATCAATGGGGTGGCGAAGTGGATAACGATGTCGATCCTGAACAAAACAGAAGAGACCCAGAGTACGCTGTATACGACTGTTTGCGCGTCGAGGAGGTAGAACGACTCCTGAACGAGAGTGTAGAAGTGTTAAGTAATAGCCTTCATGTAACGCCATCTTTAGCTAAAGTATTGTTACATAAACACAATTGGGCGTTACAAGATATTGTCACAAAGTATCGTAGCAATGCTTCCAGTTTATTGATTAATTCGAAGATTAAACCTACTCCAGAACAAGTGCCAGGATCAAAGGGTCAGAAAGGCGGTGTGTGTTCAGTTTGTGTTACGGTTTCTCCCGCAGATAGGTTTTCTACACTTACGTGTGGACATTCATTTTGCAAAGACTGTTGGTGTATGCATTTTGAAGTACAAATAACTCAAGGTATATCTACAAGTAAGTAATGTTGCTTTACTTTGTTGTCTTATTTTTGTTATGCTTTTAATTAAAATTTATTAATTTTCTCTCCTTTCTCCACATAGGTATAAGTTGCATGGCACAAGATTGCGATGTTCTAGTTCCAGAAGATTTTGTCCTTTCTTTACTTGCTAAGCCTAACATGAGAGAGAGATATCAGCAGTTTGCCTTTTGCGACTATGTCAAATCTCATCCGCAACTACGATTTTGTCCTGGTCCAAATTGCCAAATAGTTCTGCGTTCGAAGGAACAACGAGCAAAGAGAGTCATGTGTTCATCATGCAAAACTGTATTCTGGTAAACGAGTGCGGATATTTATTCAGGGTTGAGAAAATTATTTTGTGGAAGTATTTAGTTACAGTTAACAGTTACCCAATTCTAAAAAATAATAAGTTACAGTTATAATAACTCAAAAAGTAACAAATTGTAACTTAAAAATTTATTAATTAATTTTGAAATAAAATTAAATTTGAAATAAAAATATATTTAATATATTAAATTAATAATTTGTAATAAATTAACTTCTAACACAATAATTAATATTATTTACTTACAACTAATGCTATGTCTATATATATATATATTTTTTTTGTCTACATTAGGTCTAGTTTTTTCAGCCGAACTGACTGTACTAATTCAGAGAAAGAAAAGGGATAAACTCTGAACTAGTGCAGCTAGTTCAGTTGAAAAGGATAGACCTTTTGTTACATTAAAAATGTCATTGCTTTAGCTTCCGATGTGGTATGGATTACCATGCACCTACCGATTGTGGTACAATAAAAAAGTGGTTGACAAAATGTGCGGATGATTCCGAGACAGCTAATTACATTAGTGCTCATACCAAAGATGTGAGTGATTCGGAAACAATTAGAAATTAGAGATAATGCATTTACAATGTTGCAGAAAACACCTAAAGTTTCTGATTCCTCGCCGCGACCATGTTAGATTGTGACGTCACACGCTGAAATAGGTGTCATTTTTAAATATTTCGATGAAACACTGCTTTAGATGGCTTTAGCACAGTTTAGCACAAAAGGATAGTTTTCGAGATATTTGAAGAGTGTACTAAAGTCATCTGAAGTGTTTTATCGCAATGTATCTTTTTATTTCGTAATGACGTCTAAGAACTTTTAGCGCGTGTTTTCTCATCTCTGAGGTCACAATTCCAACATTGTCGGTGAGAAGCCAGGAGCCTTATTTTTAAAAATTATTTATCTTTTAAAAAATTATTTATATATTTTAGTGTCCAAAATGTCATATTTGTATAGAGAAGAATGGTGGTTGTAATCACATGCAATGTTACAACTGTAAACATGATTTCTGCTGGATGTGTCTTGGAGATTGGAAAGCACATGGTAGCGAGTATTACGAGTGTTCGCGATATAAAGAGAATCCGAACATCGCACATGAAAGCGTTCACGCGCAAGCGAGAGAAGCTCTCAAGAAATATCTTCATTATTACGAACGAGTAAGTTCTGTCTCTCTGTCTCTTTCTCAAACTTTTTATTTTGGTATATTCTTTGCAGGGTTGGGTAATAACTTAATATAAATGATAAAGTTAATTAATTAAAAGTTAATAAGTTAATAACTTTTAACTTAGCTTAGTTAATTTAAAATGTATTAATTTTAACTTCAGCTAGTTATATTTGACCTTAAACTTATTAACTTGTTTTTGTTATCTCTGAATACTATTATTGGTTTTTTATAAGTTATAAACGTATTATTTCTAATTAAACTATTATTAATTTTTATGTTCATTTGTCATCAATTATAATTATTAAAAATATATTTTCTTTCCATATAAAGATTAAACTTTGTTATTTTTTTATTATAAATTTTAAAAGAATTAAACAAAATTCTAATGTAATATAAATAATGTTTTTAAAAATTAACTTTTGATTTAACTTCAGTTAATTTAATCTTAACTTAATTTTAACTGAGTTAATTGTTTGTTAATGCAACTTTTAACTTAACTAAATTAATTTTATAAGCAACTAATTTTAATTTAACTTAATTTCAAAAACTCATTATCTTATCCAGCCTTGATTTTTTGTGATTAGTGAATTTTTTCGCAAAATTTGAATAGATAAATATTATTGCATACATATTTATTCAGTGGGAAAATCACAGCAAATCGTTGAAATTAGAGGAACAAACGTTAGAAGGCATCAAGATGAGAATCAATAATAAGGTGATGAATGCAAGTGGCACATGGATAGACTGGCAACATCTATTCGAGGCGGCATCACTCTTAGCGCGTTGTCGTTACACCTTGCAATACACATATCCATATGCTTATTATATGGAATCCAGTCCTCGCAAAGAATTGGTAAGATCTCACAAAAATATACACTACCCCTCCAAAAAGAGAGGGGAACACTTTTTCTATCTTAAAAATTATATTATTGTCAAACTACTGCAACTCATCCGAAAAAATCATCGTAGATTAAAAATTGAGAAAGTATTTTGAAGCTTGAAATATCAAATGCGCTGTCAGTGATTTTACAAAATTTTTTTATTTTCCTTGTTCTGAAAAATACAGATTTAGTTACAATATTATGTAAAAAAATTGTGGAAAATTTTTAAAAATAGCGTTTTGTAGGCGAAATATTATCATTTATGAAACTTGAGCAGATTTTTTCAAAAAAAATTTTATTGACACCCAGAATGTCAAAAATACATAATTTCATGACACAAAACAACATGTCCTTTTTTATATAATTTTTAGAATAGGAAGTGTTCCTTTTTTTTTTAGTAGTGTATGTGTTAACTAAAGTATGTAATACACGTAATGATAAAAACTGAATTATCCTATTATATATAATAGTTCGAGTATCAGCAAGCTCAATTGGAAGCAGAAATAGAGAATCTCTCGTGGAAAATTGAACGAGCGGAAACGACGGATCGGGGTGATCTAGAGAATCAAATGGATATTGCGGAAAAGCGTCGTGTTACCTTATTGAAGGATTTCCTCGAGGTATAATTGTCCGAGCGCTAATTTTGTATTTTCAGTCTTAAGTCTAACACAAAATTAGATCACATTTGTGATCTTTTCTATTTACAATCGGATAGCAAGGTGCAAAATACGTACGCGGGCGCCTATACATATAAACACTTATATATTTACAGATCCTATATTATAGTATATGTTTATATATATATATATATATATATATATATATATATATATATGCACAATGCCACTACACAAAATTTGAAATTGTATAGAATTGTTTAATTATATAAATATCTCAATAATAATATTTAAAAAGAAATTTAATTTATCATACTTGATGAGATCATAATTATCATAATTATAGAAGTGAAAATATTTTTGTTTTATGTAGTAAGATAATGTGAGGTGTAATTATAATAATTATAAAGAAGTGATTCTTTTTCTTTAAGTATTATCGATACAGGAGATAATTTAACCATGTCATTTGCTCTATGCTACAATTTAAATATGAGAATTATGAAGATTTAAGAATTATTATATATTAGCGTTGATTTGCGTGTTATATCCAAAAAAATTTTCAGATTTTACCGAAATATTTAAATTCTAATAATATTATTTTACATTTAAGGCTCCTGGATCCTCGCCGCGACCATGTTTGTGACGTCAGAGGCAAGAAAATACACATTAAAAATTCTTATTGTTACATAAAAAAAATGTTATCTTTATTAAATTATCTAGAATAACGTTTAGATAATTTGATTTAGAATCGTAACACATAAAAATACTTAAGTAGTAGAATTTAAGCAGTAAGCGATAAAAACTTACAAATAAAATATGAATATATTTTCTATTTTTGTTTTATAATTTACATTTTTTTATAACTATTTACATAAGCGGTTTTAAAAATAACATTATCTGGAAATTATCTAGATGAATATCGTTATATAATTTTATCTTTTATCTAGATATATTCAAAATCATCTTTATCTTATCAATCTAACAATAAGATAATTTTACATATTTTTATCTCATCTTTATCTAATTAATTTTAAAATTATGTAAGCCATCTGAAATAGTTTCATCGAAATACCTTTTTATTTCGAAATGGCATCTAAGAATTTTTAGGGTGCGTTTATTCTGCTTCTGACATCACATTCTAACATCGTCAGAGGATCCAGGAGCCTTAATGCTTATTAGATAAAATCGAAAAAATATTAATTTTGTCGATTGATTCGTCGATATTTCGATTAGCTTGAAAATATTTTTTTTAAATGCGTCATAAAAAACTTGTGAATTTTTAAAATTTTCTTATTCTGTATTCAGCAAAATACACGCATTATGCAATTTGATAAGAGGCATTGTACGAAAAGTATCAATGAAATCGGAAAATGCTTGTCTTCACTGCTATTCGCCTTTCTTCAAATCTTATTCTAAGTATTGTTAATTAATATATTTAAGATACATTTATGTGTCCATTGATTAAAAGCAACCGCCTAATTTAAGTACTCTGGTGCCAAGAAATGATGGTATCAATTTGCTGTGTATATATTAAAAAGAGAAAAAGTAAATGTGTACGTGAAGAGAAATAAAGAAGGATGCGACGTGTTTTTTATTAAACTAGAATTTTAAGGAGTACATGTGCACAACGATCAAAGATATCTGTAACACATTTAGCCATAATTAAATTTACATTTTTTTAAGCTATTTAAAAAAAGGGAAACAGGATTTACTCTACTATTATAACTTTTAACCGCGTGATATAAATGCGAGGAAATAGGTGATTATCCAAAAAGCTGGAATTAAAATTTTCTGCGAAATACTGTATAAAATAATATAACATGATATTTTAAATCGGCCAATAGAGCCCAAGCACGAAAAATTAATTCTTCGGAACTGTATCTCTTGGTTTGAGATTACTAAGTTCCATATATAAATTAATCTCGAACTTACATATGGAAAAAATAGGCGAGAAAAATATAGGTCCGAAAAGTTCTGCTTCAGCGACTTTTCGGACCTATATTTTTCTATGGAGAAAATAGGCGAGAAAAATATAGGTCCGAAAAGTCGCTGAAGCAGAACTTTTCGGACCTATATTTTTCTCGCCTATTTTTTCCATATGTAAGTTCGAGATTAATTTATATATGGAACTTAGTAATCTCAAACCAAGAGATACAGTTCCGAAGAATTAATTTTTCGTGCTTGGGCTCTATTGGCCGATTTAAAATATCATATGTTATTCTTAATATTGAGAGCCGATAAAAATATTTCTCATTTGATAACATAATATGTTTGTCACAGTTAAAAGAGAAATGAAAACTTTTTCAAGAAATTAAAATTCACGTGCAACTAAAGAAAGTTATGTTGCACAAGATGATATAAAAGAGAAGAATATGATGACGAGACGATTTTCGCGACTCAAAAGATTGAATTAAATACGAAACCAAGGTCTCTCTCAAAGATTTGTCTCTCATCTCTACATGTCTAATCTTTCGAATGTGCAATGGGAAGTAATTACTATTGTATAAGAATATTAAAGTATTTGTAAATTAATATTAATAATAATAATCATAAATCATACAGAACAATTTATTCAATTCAATAATTTTATTAACATATTTATTGTTTATTTAAGGCCCTTGCTTTCTTCTTTCTTTTCTTAGTACTACTACTATCTACCATCCCAATAATCATTACTATGTAAAGGCAAGTGTAGGTAACTAATTTTGTTAAATGGCCGAGGAAATAATTAAGTTTTCTTTTGATGAATGAGATAAGAGAGGATCTATCAGATTGATAAAGAGGGCAGAACCAGAGTTTGATATCCTAGGAAGGAAAGGAAAAGCCACATGCTGGAGAAAAAATAATTTTTAGGGATTAATAATTTTGAAAATTATTTTTTCAAAAGAGTGATGGCAAAAAGATCTGTTTTTCGCCCATTTTATAGGGTCGAATTTTGGGATCTCAAATTTCAAACTTTTTTTTATGCCAAATAGTACTATATGATGAGACATTAATCCCAGAGAAATTTCAAGATAAGCATAGGCACAGTTCTTTAGATATGAAGAGGTGAAAGTGATAATTTTTCATATATAGAACTAACTAAAAATTATCACTTTCCTCCTTGTATCTCCGCAATCGTGCCTATGCTCATCGTAAAATGTTACTGGGATTAATGTTTTATCTAATATAATACTATTTTGCCATGAAAAAAAGTTTAAATTCGAGGTTTTAAAAATGGGCAAAATTTGCCATCACTCTTTTATTAATGTGATTAAATAGGTCTTTTTACCATAAAACTTTTGTCTAAAATATTTTTTAATATCTTGAATAATTTTCGAAATGAAACTTTGGCGTCATCTTATCTTTATATAGATAATCAAAATATGTATTATCTATATCTGCACCTTAGATGAAAAAAAGTATTTTTTTTGTAATTTAATAAAGATTATCTTTATTAAATTATCTAACATAATTTTCAGATAATTTTGGTTAAGTATTATAGCACATAAAAATACTTAAATAATAGAACTTAAACAGTAAGCGATAAAAATTTATAAATAAAAATATAAATATATATATATTTTTATATCCTTTTTATAATTTATATTTTTTTATAACTGTGTTTATACATAAGCAGTCTTAAAAATTATGTATATATTAAAAAGAAATAGAGTGCAAAAAAATAGAAAATAGAATGATTTGTTGAAGAAATGGCTTAAGGAAGATTATATCTCAAAAAATGAATATTATAAATTACGTTCTAGTGATTTTCTCCTTCCAAAAGCGTACGGATTATCTAAAATCCATAAGGAAAACTATCCAGTTAGAATCATAGTTTCATCGGTTAATACAGCTTTATACTCGCTGGCTTCGTTTTTACAAAACATCTTACAAACTAGCCTACCTAAAGCTAAAAACTTGTACAGCATGTTGTCTGGTAAAAAGATTGATGAGAACGATAAGATGTTTTCTTTAGATGTTGTTTCTTTATTTACGAACGTACCTCTAGATCTTGCGATTAATAGGATTAATGATAGATGGGATTACATTGAAACAAATACTAGAATACCGAAAAGCGAATTTATATGTGGTATAAAATTCATATTGACTTCTACTTATTTTACATTTAATGACATAATTTACAAACAGACTTTTGGGACCCCTATGAGGTCTCCATTATCACCAATTATAGCTGACTTGGTTATGCAAGATCTTGAGGATACAGTTCTTCAAGCGTTAAATTTAAAATGTTTGTTTTACTTCCGTTATGTAGATGACATAATATTAGCTACTTCTATGATTAATATGACTCAGATAGTTAATAATTTTAATAACTATCATGATAAACTTAAATTCACGGTAGAACAAGAGGTTAACCGTAGCTTGAATTTCTTGGATTTATCACTAAAAATTATTAATAACACAATATACATTGATTGATATCAAAAAGAAACCTTCTCAGGAAGGACTTTATCATTTTTTTTCTAACCACCCATTATGCCATAAAATTGGAATAATATACAACCTTGTGGACAGATGTTTGTTGTTATCACACCCACAATTTTTTAATAAAAATTTGGAGTTAATCATTAATATACTCACAAGCAATGGTTACCCTCTTGATCTGATTTTTAACAAAATTAATCATCGGATAGAACACCTCATATCTAAAAAAAAGCATTATAAAAAGACAAGCTAACATAGAAGGAACAGAAATTATAGAAAAGGAATCAGTTAATAAAAAATTCTTTGTCATCCGTATATAAATAGGATCTCAGAAATGATTGTCTCCTCGGTAAAAAATACAGTGTATAGTAGGATACAGATGTCTCAACAAACTTGATAACATTATTAAAGCACAGAAAGATAAAACTAAACATCCATGCAATTCGAATGTTGTTTATAAGATCAATTGCTATAATTGTAATGCATCTTATGTAGGCCAAACGAGGGGGCAATTACAGACGAGATTAAAAGAACATAAAAATAATATCAGGTTGCACTCAATGAAATATTCAGTAATTTCTGAACACATAAGAAATGAACACCATACATTTAATTGGGATAACGTAAAGATTCTGGACAACTAAATAATTATTATAAATAATTATTATAAAAGACTCATCTCTGAGATGCTACATATTAAAGAACAAAAAAATGGGCTAAATTTAAACAAAGATACTGTATTACTCAGCGAGTCTTATTTTGATATTTTGGATAAATTAGCAAACAATAAATAATAATAAGACAAATAGGACATTAACGGTTTAAACATAGGTATTAGATCATATATAAACACGCACATTCTTTGATTAAGTAGAGTTTGAAATGAGGTGTCTTTTTATATTGTTGGTCTTGTCTTGTGTCATCTTCAATAACTTTTTCAAAAAAAACGTGGTTAAAATTGACAAGAAGGACGATGTCAAGTAAGCATATTGCTAATTGTTAAGGATATATATTTTAATTTTTGACATACGTTAATCGTCAATTTTTTATTAATCGCAGCGCCTACGGAACGTATTAATTTCTCGCATATTAACAATGAAACTTTTCGAGATTTGATTAAAATCAAAGATCATATCGAGGCGAACATTTGTTGGATATGACGGATTGAAACACGCTTTAATTGTTTATAAATTCTCGACTCTTATTGAAGAACTAACATTAATTTTCGATATTATGTGGAATTTTTGTATGATTTTGTA